GAATCAGAAGCAGGCTTTGTGCTGCCAGCAGGGTTTGAACCCATAAACTGTGAGATCATAACCTGAGCCAAAATCAAGAGTTGGACACTTAACCCAGGCACCCAAGAAACTCTTAACTATAGAGAACAAACTGAAGGTTGCTGAGGGGAGGTGAGTGGGGGAATGAGCTAAAATGGGTGATGGGCATTAAGGAGGGCACTTGTGATGAGCACTGGGTGTTATATAAGTAATAAATCATTAAATTCTACTCCTAAAACCAATGTTATACTATATTGACTAAGTAGAATGTAAATTAAAAAAAATTGATCCAGAAAAAGAGTTGCACGCTCTACTGACTGAGCTAGCCAGGCACCCCAGGGTGATCTCACTTTAAATACATGGCCACAAATCTCAGCTTGGCATTGGTATTACGGCAATCCTACTGTTTTCTTAATATGTTATTCCATTTATTTTCCTATGGTCCCAAGTATCTCATAATTTTTCCTTTCCTCAAACTTCCAACAACTTGTCCTCCATAAATCACTTTCAGCCTTGTGTTCTAGTTCACTGCGAAATAGCAATGCCCTTCAGCCAAAGACCGCAATGTTGGGTTTACTGACTCATTGCAACAAAGGCGAAAGTACACCATAGAGAATCATGAGGACATCTCAGTCAAACGGTGTTAGAGAGGATTTACTATAGGATTTGGGTTTCTGTTTTTGGTGATTCTGGGAGGATGAGTTAAGAAGTGGGGCTTTCCCCAGGATTATATGTTGACAAAAGCTGTAGTAATTGTAATGGTTGAGTATCTTAATAAATCTTATGTAGAAGGTGGGAGGAACAAAGTGCAGTGAAAGCCGTGAATGAGAAAGAAGCAGCAGTTACTCACATTAGCCAGCATAAGGGGATATTTGGCCATTTTTGTGGTTTGAACCATGTCCCCATTTTTGTCTGCTTACACCTGATTATGGAGTGGACTTCCTTTGACCTTGCTCTATCATGCTTGCAAAGTGGCTTTTAAAAAACACCAGTGACATGTGTAGTTTTTCATGTTCAACAGACCACCGTGGCCTCTGCTCTGAGCACCAGGCCATCTTCTGGCTGTCAGGGGCTGCTGGGAAGCAGTCACAAGAGAACTTGCACAGACTCATCTTGTCACATCTATTCACTTACCTGCACCTGTGCCATATATTCTTTCGCAATACTAAGGATGAACAGTCCATGTTCCCGTTGTAGTCCAGCCCATCCACTTACATAGTAGAGCCTACCCCACCATCTATTCAAGGTCTTCACTTCCGAAGCTCTCCCTGCCTCTCTTGAACCACAAATTTTACCTGTCTGTTGGGTCATTCCCATGTGTATTCAAATATGCTGTTATTGTTCCCATCTTATAAAAAAAAAACCACAAAAATTTAAAGACAAAGCAGAAGAATAAACTCTCCTTTGACCCTAAATCTCCCCTCCAGCTCTGTCCTATTTCACTGCCTCATTTAGAGCAAAGTTCTTCCAAGTAGTTGTTTATACATATTGCCTTCTACAACCTTTCCTTTTCTCTTGAATCTGCTCTCCACCAAAATTGTTCTTGTCAAGGTCAACGAATGATCTCCAGATTGATAAATATAGAGCGATATAGAACTATTCTCAGTTCTCATCCTACTTGACCTGTTAGCAATGGTTGACATCTCTGATTTTTTCATCCTACTTGACCTGTTAGCAATGGTTGACATCTCTGATTTTTTTCATCCTCCTTGAGATACTTTATTTGACTTCAGGGTGAGGTTCTCTATCTACCTCATTGGTCATTCCTTCTCAGTCTTTGCTGTTTCCTCTTTATCTCCTCAACTTCGAAATCTCTATTTAAAAACAATGTCACCCTTTTAAAATTGGTCTAAAATCTGAATAGTGATTCACCTAGCCCAACCTTAGGATCTTTCTTTATCAGATTATTTTCATTTTTTCCACCTTTTCAAAAAATTTAAATAATTTAGTGGGGGTGGCACTGTGAGGGGTTATACAACCTGAGCAGAGTAGGAAAGGGGTGTATGCAGAATGCAGGGACCATGATGGCTGGGCAAGGGGGTTAGGGTGGGATGGATGAGGAGGGAGCCTGTGCAAGGGGCATTTAATATTGCACATTGAAGGAGATATGGCAACAGATGATAACATGTGATTTGGGGCTATATTCTCTTACTATGAAGGATCTTACTGGGACAATTGGTTGAACTTTAGTGTGATGTGAGAATTAGAATGTAGTAATATGATGTTAATTTCCCAATTTTGTTGGTCATATTATGATGGCTTGGGAGAATGTCCTTGTATGCAAGAAATATTCACCTAAATATTCAGAGTTGATAGGGCACACTGTTGACAGTTTACTTTCAAATGGCTCAGGGAAAAGGTTATTGTAATATATTTGCAATTTTTCTGTAAGTTTGAAATTGTTTCAAAGTTAAAAAAATTTAAATATTAGTTTTAAAATACATAATGACCATATTCATCTTGTACCATTAAAAAAATATTGGCAATATTAAATTCTTTCAATCCAAAGTAGAATTCTTAGCATGGCTTCTGGTTCAAATAATAGGCATTTTTTCTTCAGCCTATTCTTGTACACAACATTGAAGGAAAACACAGTTTATGCTAAGTTTTGCAGAACAAAAACAAGAATATATCCTTTCTTGATTATCTTATTAGGTAATTGTTCCTTAACATATAATACTTTTTTAAAAAAGATACTCAATATCTGACTTTTTGTGGAAGCGGAGTTGACTTTTTCTCCCTCTTCCACTTTCCATTATGATTATTTTCAAACATACAGAAACAGGAAAAGAATAACTGAATAGTGGTGTACCCTCCACATAGATGGAATAATTGTTAACATTTTGCTATTTTGCGTTCTCTTTCCCCTTATCTGTTGTCTTAAGTTTATTTAGGCGGTTAGAACAAAAAATGCTGGAGGTTAGGTGGCTTGTAAACAACAAAGATTTATTTCTCACAGTTCTGAAGTCTGGGAAGTCCAGGATGAAGACACCTGCAGATTCTGTGTCTGGTGAGAACCCACACCCTATTCATAGTTGCAGTCTTCTTAACAGTGTCCTCATATGGTAGAAGGGGATTATATGTCAGCGTATGAATTTGGGGAGGACTCCACATTCAGCCCGTGGCATCTATATTTGTTGAAGCATTTGAAATCAAGTTGTAGGCATCATGACACCTCATTCCTAAATACCTGAGCATGAATTTTCTAATAATAAAGACATTCTCCAACATAACCACCAAGTAGTAATTATCCATAAATGAATATCAATAATTTTATCCACAAACCGTTATTTATTCTGTAACAAGGAAGAAATATATTTATTTCGTAAATATATTTAATATATTAATCAATATATTTATACATATAAATAATATATATTTCACATTCAGTCTTCCTTAATTGTTCTAGAATGTCTTTTATAGCTGTATTTTGAGGGGGGAAGGAACCAGGAT